TACATACATACATACATACATACATACATACATACATACATACATACATACATACATACATACATACATACATACATACATACATACATACATACATACATACATACATACATACATACATGATGACCCCCAAAACGATGGTCATATTTTGACACATGTCAGTGACCCAAAGTTTAAGTTTAAAAACCAAGAAGCCTACTAGTACTATTGGTATGGATTGCTATTGGTATGGATTGAGAGTCTGAGAGTCTAACTAGTGACTACATGTCAAAGGTTTGTGAGAAACCAAAGAGGAAGAAACCCCCGACTTTCCTATTGGTGAAGTACAACTGGGAGAGGCGCACGACTAGAGAGAGAACAGAAGATGGTAAGGTCTAGCCTCTTTTGAATTTTAATTTCAATACCAACTTGAAATATATTATTAATTGTATGCATATTTAAAGAACATGAATAGGATTTGTAGAAGGAAACTGCTACTGAATTAAAAACAAAAGACATTCAGAATATTTATGTGGAAAGCGAATAGGAAACTAATTAAAATAAATTAATTATGCTATAAATTTGGGCCTAGCGGTGTCCCTGCAGAGTTTGTGTGAGTATGTCCAGCCCAAGAAGGTATAAAATCTGAAGTCCTATATTCAAAAGGCATCCTTATTTTCAAAAAATTAGTTGAGAAATGTCATAGAAATGCAGATTTCTTGATCAAACTTTGTAATGTGGATAACTGAGCTTTTTAACATTATCTTCGTGATGGATAGATGCCCGAAGAGTGGATGAAGAGTACAATGATCCCATTATACATACCTTAGAGCGATTAAGGATAGGTACGATGGAGCAGGGACAAGCATACCGTCTATAGGACTCTGATCTTTTCCCTTCAAGATGTGACTACGTCAGGGTCTGTCATGATTGACGAAATGCATGAATGACAAAATAATAGATTGGAGGTGTAGGGGCGAACCTTGGAGTTTAAAGGTTTCAGATTGAGCAGGGGACTAAAACAGAGTGCAATTTTAGTGCGATGACAATTGAGTCGGACGTGGAGGTGAAGATTGATGCTGAAACCAAGCCTATAAGGGATACGTTTCAGTACCTTGTATCACCCTGTATCTACCATTGAGGCCTGTGATGAGATTGATAAGAATTTTGTCCACCGTATCAGAGTGGGAGAGATGAAATGGAAGCTCTTGTCAAGTATTTTGTACGACAAGAGTGTCCCAGCAAAATCGAAAGCCGAGTTTTATCGACTGGCTATGTTTCAATGGGCTAGTGTTGGTTGGTTATAAACACATGTGCATAAAGTTCAAGTGGGCGAGATGAGGATGCTGAGGTGGTAGTGTATAGAGTTTAGAACAAGGTTAATCCAAGACAAGGTGAGAGTGGCATCTGTCAAAGATCAGATACACGAAGCTAGATGAAATGGTTTGGGCACATGTTGAGAATTACCGACGCTCCGGTATGGAGGTGCAAGTGACTAAAGGTAGGATACTTGAGGAGGCGTAGAAGTAGGCTGAAGAAGAGTTGGGGTGAAGTGATTCCACCAAAGTTATGCCACCAGACGCGTGACTTAGAGGGTGTTTGGGGCTGTGTTTGAATAAAGATTTTGAGCTTCTACTTCACTGAGCAAATCAACTTTAAATTATGAAACGTGACTTCAAAAGTGTAAATTGTGTTGTAGAAGTTTTTTCACCAAAGCTTGAAGTAACTGATTTCTGCTTCTGATTTAGCACATTTGCTTTTTCAGGAACCCACCTCACTCACAAACACGCTTAAGTAACTCAACAACGACATGACCCTAGAAAGGAGTGTTGGGCAATCAAGGATTATAATGGTTGGCAAGGCCATGATAGAGGTGGTTATTGTTGTGTGTAGGGCTATCGGATTTAGTTAGATGGAGCTTGTCTGGATTACCTTCATCTGTTTTGGTTTATCCATTGTTTTCTTCATTTCCGTCTATTTGCGGATTGTATTAACCACAATCATTTGTCCTTACGTGTTTGCATCAAGTGGGATCTTTAGGAAACAACCTCTCTATCTTTACACAATAATAACCCATATATGATATTTTTACCAATAATGCATTGAAGTTAACATATAATTAACATAATGATTTTAATAATATCAAAGATGTATTGCTAACCAGTACCCAAAAGAGATGGCAAGGGTTATCTTTATCACGTTTGTTCATCAATAATAAAGAAACAAATAAAAATTCGCTAATATATGTGATATACATTTGCCACATCGATGTATGATATTACCAATTCTCATGCATCCGTTGTTGTACAATTATTGACAATGACAATTGACTCCCATATTCTCAAGAAACTTAATACTAGTGACTAAGCAATATCAAATTAAATCTAGAAAATGTTACCTCGCGACAGATGTGTTTAACTGATGCCTTGAAAGGAGTTATCAAATCCACCGGCCTCTCTTCGTGGTCATCTTCTAAAAAGTCTCCGTCATCATCCTCCGCATTCTCAATCTTCAAACGGGACTCCACAATGGGCAAGTAGTTATATAGGAAAGACCTCAAGAATGTAAGGGCAAAATTTCTCCAATGAAATGCAGAAAGCAATGCTTTTTGTTCAACAATGTATATTTTGGAACTATAGTCATCAACGTTAACCGTTGAATCACTTCTTAAGCTAGAAATATAATCTTCTGTAAGACCCTGACCAGCATCACAAAAAGCAACTCTTGCCCCGCTGTAACTGTATTAAACCATCATGTGTCAATATTTTAAATAGGTAAAAAAAGAACGGAGAAGAAGACTAAACAAGCATCTTCATTTAAGATTATCTCCATACAATTAGATTAACAATGTTCTTAGGGACTGTCTGAGAAGGAAATGGTTTTTGACGTTAATTGTTTTTTTGTAAATTCCATACATAATCCCTTATAACATGTGGTTTTCCATATTTAGTCTCCAATTATTAGATATTACATTCGTGGTCCTCATTTTTTGAAAACTATATCAAAATCGTTCCTTTGGTTAAATTTGGCATAAGAGACTAATTATAAAATAGTTCCCAAAAATTGAGGACCATAAATGTAATATCTTAGAATTGGAGTTGAAACATGGAAAACCACCAATTATAAGGGTCCATTTATGGAATTTACTCATTGTTTTTCTAACCTAGTTATCAAGGCGAAAAGTCGAGTCTGTGAAGAGGAGACTAGTGGACTAGTCGACCTACTAGTCGTAGACTAGTCAATAAATCACAAATAGTATTGAATTTTTAATATTATATATATCTTCATTGACCAAAGATAACTATATATATTTATATAATGAAATATCATTACCAAAACAAAATTATGTTTAAAAGTAGCACATAAAGTCACACAACAAAGGGTACATTAGAAACAAATAACCTTTAATCTTCAAAAACAACACCAAGTACCAACAAAGATAACAAGAACAAAAAGAAGTTAAAGAACATATTAAAATATTTAATTCCATGTTTTGAGTTATCAAATACCATGGAGGATGATGGAGAGGAATCGATGAAGATGAAGAACAATCAAATCCACAAGAATCGATCTGGAAGATGGGCTTTGGCGAGGAAGAAAGAGAGAGAGAGAGAAGTAATGAAGGATTGTCACGTTGTGCTGAGTGAACAAGGGAGGTGATACTTTTACGTAGTGTTTTTTTAAAATTTAATGAAATTTGGGTGGGGTCTGGTAAAATTGGGTTGGGTTTCCATCAGCGACTAGTTGTCGCGTTACACGACCGGGCAACTAGTCTATCCAAGTCGCTAGGGGACAATCAAGTTGCACCACCAAAACGACCAGGCGACTAGTTGACGACTTAATAACAATGTTTTCTAGTCTCCTGGTAGACAATGTGCAAAAGGGAGAAAAATGTGTTTGCGCAGATAATTATTTTCTGTTGAAGGGAGGAAAATATTGTCTTCCCATTAGACTTGGAAAATAATTTTATGCCTCACCCCAGTCCGAATCGCTTTTAGACTCTGCACTAATCTATAACTCACATATGTCAAAACCACCCCCCACCCCCTGGCATTCCTTCCGTCTTCAATACTTCTTATCCCGATATCCCTTTTAGACTTGCCGCTCACTTCACCTATGCTTAATAACCCACTCTCCCTCTCCGTTGACGTGATGCTTCGACTGTCGAAGGGTTGGTCTCTTTTTCTATATCTTTCAAAATCTTGGATTCTGATTTCTGTGAATTCGGCTATTGGATTATGTTATTTCTATTTGATTCTGTTTTAATTATATTTAGTATTTCATTTTTAGTTTAAGTGTTCAAAAGTCTTTTTCTTTTAAGCCAGATTTTTATTTCATTGGCTATTTTCCGATGTATGGAATGTTGGTCTTCCGAGATTAATAGGGGACATATTTTACTTATTAAATTCCTGAGTTCTTTGCAAATTTGCATGTTATTAATGATTTAATGGGGTAGTTGGTAGTTACCACCACTGTAAGATACGTTTCTGATGGGTATATTGGGCTGAAGGTATTATTGTTTATGTAATTGGCCCAATATACGTGTCCAGGTGAGTCTCCAGCGGGCCAGGTCCAATCTTGGGGAGACCCATTGAACATGTTCGATGGATCAGCCCACAACTGACAATGAGGCATGAAGCCAAGGTGAAGGGCGCGGTGCAGTAGGGTTTTAATTACTTGTGGAGGGGTTTTGGTAGTTATCATAATGAACACAAATAAATGCCTATAAAAGTTGATCAAAGATGGTGAATAAGGGAAGCCATGTAAACTTATAAATATCCCCCCCCCCCCAAATGATATTGGAATTGGACACGATTTTTCCTACGAGTATCTAGCACTACTCAAACAAGAACAGATTTGAGGTGAGAGTTCTCGTTATTTGCGGAGTTCTAAAGCAGTGTATAGTAACTTACAATCAGTAATATGATACTATACACTTGGGAAGTTTTAGTCTTAATTGCTTCAGTGGGGAAGTAGAAACTCTGTTTCATTGGGGAAGGAATGAGGAGTTTGATAGTTAGGCGTAGGAAGCATGATCCAGTTTATATATGAAAGATATGCTCTAAATTAATTTCCTTCTTTCTAAAACCCAGATTATCGGGTTACATATAGAACAAATGTGATTAAAAACGAAAGAGCACGAATGTGTTCTCGACCTTGGAACTGCATAAGGAACAGTTTCTCATCTCAACATGAACACAAAAAGGCCAATGGCATAGCCATTATGTAATATGCTAGACATTGAATCAATTAACTAAATAACCATGACTTTGTTTTTAGTATTCTAGCAATGGAGATTCCCAAGTAGGAAAAACTCTGCTTATTGGTTAAAAAGGCCTGTTGACGAGTCGAATCACCCTCAAAAAAAAGTTTGGAAATAAGCAAGCTTGATTAAACATACTAGCAGGCAGATACACATTGTATTAACCAAACCCATATGAGACTTGCGGCGTTTCTTAGACTGAATGAGACAAAATTTAATTACGGGTACGAGTGGGATCGCGATCCTAATTAACACAACCATGATGTAGTCCCTATCCAAAGTAGAGGTTGACAATTCATAACTGGGCGGAGGGAGTAATACATTATAAGAATGACCAGATTTGTAGCTTGCGTGAATGTGACTACAACAAACCGAATATAACCCCAACTACATTGGAGCGTAGGGAGTCAAGATGTACGAAAAAATTATCCTTTTAATGTTTCAAATAGACCCTTTACCCAAAACTTCAAAGAAAAGAAGATTAATAAGGCATTTTGATTGAGGCCATTATTCACTCAAAGCTATAACAATGTAAAAATGACATTTTTAGAATCCATAGGCAATGGACACCGCATGAATATGACTAATACTATAAAAATCAGAGCAAGATGAGATATATGGCATTCAAAAGGAAAGAATATCTGGAACGCTATCTTTGCATGCAGGGATAAAAGTGTGTTCTGTCTTTTTAGGAAGCTAGGATCCAAGGCATACTTGTATAAGCAGAAGGAGTATATGGGTTGGGAAAAAATTACCCGACGAAGGGTCTATAAGCAAAGGGAGTGGTGGCTGCAAATGCAAGCGAAGCCTTGGCAGCAGAGGCAGCAACTTTAGATGAGAAGACGCCGTAAGAATGAAGGGTCTGGCCATTCAAGCTCGGGTTTGTCCGCAGTAGATCCAAAACAATCGCAATCCCCGCCATGGTTTATGTATAGTCTTGGGCCGGTCCTGAGATTTCGTCAGCCTGGGCCGGAACAGAAAAAAGGCCCTCAAGTCTTATCTTTAATGGTCTAAAAAATTCACATATGTAAACTAATTATATTTAAATTATTATTAACGCAATATTATTAGAAGAAAAAAATAAATGAAAAAATTGTTTAGGAGTCATAGCTATTGAATTATTTAAATAAAATCCAAATTCATAAATTCTACTAATTAAAATCAAGAATAAAAAATAAAAAAAGCAAGAAAATAAATAAATAAATATATCATAAATTAATATCAATTCGTCAATTTTTCTTTTTTTAATTTTTTTTCTTTTTCAGTTTTAATTTTTTTATAAATCATAAATTAATATCAATTCACCAATTTATCAGTTTTAAATTTTTTTCGGTTTAAGTTTTTTTAATATAAATATATAATTATCATAAATAACAAATTCAAATCAATTCATCAAATCAAATAAATAACATATAGAACCATTCATTCTATTTCAAAGAATGAAATTAGAAAACATTTCAAATTAAAAATTAAGAATTAACCCTAGATTTTAAATCTAAAAAATGAAACAATGAAAGAAAATTAAGATTTAAGAAATAAAAATTACAAAATTGGAAATGGAAGGCTATGAATAATTACCTGGAGGGTGGAGCCGTGCAGGTCGGCGACTCGTCCGGCGGTGGAGGCGGCGAGTCGGGCAGTTGGCTCTCTTGTTTCTTCCGGTCGCTGGGTTTCTTCGATCGGCACTTGCACAGTTGCACTTTAGCTTTTCTTCCGTTTTTGGTCTACCGAATACGGATGGACTGGGCTAGTGCTAGAGGTAATAAGCTAAGTGATGGGTACTGGGCCTGGGCCTATACATATATATATATATATATATATATATATATATATATATATATATATATATATATATATATATAATACTTTTAAAAAAAATGTGCCCTGAAATGTTTGGGCCCGGCCCGGAAGGACACCTTGTCCCCCTATTGGGCCGGCCCTATATACTTCAATTAAGAAGGTTTTTGTTTGTTCCCAACAATCGCAGTCCCCACTAAGGCAATTCTTGTTCTCAACAACATAACCAAAGCTCTCTTCTTCACAGAACCTCAGCGAGCCTCTACGGCGCGACGTACACTTTCCGTTTTTAGGATTTTACTGGTTCAATTCTGTGTAGGAAGAGGAATTTGAAAAGTAGTCTTGATTCAATTTTCGATTTCAGGACTGTCAGGAGGCTCGAGCGCCGATTTAATATGTAATGGGGAGAGATAATGGGTTTCTTGTAGGATTGGTGAAGGTGATACTCCGTAAAAATTTGGCCCAACCATTAAAATCCAAGGACGCCGATTCAAATTGTTTTTAGGAGTAAGACTAGGGCTCAGCTGGTACGGTATGGTACGGTATTTAGCTTGTCCTGATACTGCACCAAATATTTCGGTTCAGTATGAGATTTTACTCTGTACCGATCTCGATTCCAAAATATCGGTTCGGTATGGTTCGAGATGGTTCAGTATCGGTATAAATCGGGATAAATATACATACCTACTCTACACGTTAAAATTTAACAATGTCCCTTTATTTTTGAAAATTAAAAGTGAATTTAAATTATAAAAATATGAAAATTAAAAAAAAGAATATTTAAATGCAAGAGATGCGTATCAAAACTTAGTTTATATTTCACAAACTAAAAAATCAATGACAACAAAGGAGTATTTCGAATCTTTGCGAATACTTTTATGTTCATACACAAAAATTAAAAACCTAAATAAGAGTATAATTTACACATCATAGAACTTGAACCATTTTTTCTAAAACATTCTTATTTAGTGAGAGAATATAAAAATATTACTCCGGGGTATTATTTTTATAATATTTTAGTATATATGTTCGGTACGGGATTTTCAGTATGGGACGTCACCTCGTATCGTTCCCGAATACCGTACCGGCCATTCGGTTTGGTACGATTCGGTTTCTTCTCGGAATTTTTTCGGTTCGGTATTTTTCAATTCGATATTCTCAATTTTTTCGAGAAATTCCGCTATCGGTTTGATACTTACTCACCCCTAAGTAAGAATATCCAACCCATTTATTTCAAACTCAAACTCAAAATTTAATAAATAACAACTTAAAGAGTAATTCATCTCCAATTCATTATAGCAAACTCAAACCAAAAAAAAATTTATATATCACCATATATCCATTTCACTACTTATACTTTTCGAATATTACCGAATTATTTATCGAGTTTGGAATTTGACCCCAACTAATTTAGAACAAACTGAATTATTGTAAGGTACTCAATTATTAATGAATTCAATTTTTAGCAAATTTCATTAATTTTTTATTTATCAAAGCAAAACAATTTTTAAAGCAAAACAAATTAAGCATCTTCAAACATTAGTTTCAAAAATAAAATGATTAAATAAGTAACAGAATACGGAGTATTACTAGGGGTGGACACAATATGATTCCGGTTATGGGACCTGCAGCGGCAATTCTATCATCGTACCAGGCCGGTTTGTTTCACCTTCAATTTTTTAAACTATTTTAATGATAATTTATAAATGTTTAAGTGTAAAAGTAAAAGACATTTATAAATTTTAATGAATTAGTGAAGAATTGTATTTTCATTGATTAATTATGTGAGGAGTACATGTATATATATACAACATCTCAATCCTAGTTATGGTAGGAGAGGTATTCTAGGAAAGCTATACAAGTATGGAAACAAATCATAATACAATAATATTAAATATATTTAATATATTTAACATGCTCTTGGCTACGTCGGATGTGCTGGGGGTCGGATACCTAGGCTTTCTCTGAAGTCCAGAAATAAGAGAGAGGGCAGTCCTTTTGTGAAGATATCGGCGAACTGAGAGGATGAAGGAACATGAAGGACTTTGATCTGGCCAAGCGCCACTTTATCGCGTACAAAGTGTATATCAACCTCGAAGTGCTTGGTGCGCTGATGTTGCACCGGATTTGATGATAGGTAGACAGCACTAACATTTTCACAGAAAAATGAGTGTGGCACGACGGAGTGGTTGTTGCAGCTCAAGAAGAAGATTCCGGATCCAGCAGGTCTCTGCAACAGCATTGGCAACGGCCCGATATTCTGCCTCGATGCTAGAACGAGAAGTGGTGGCCTGGCGTTTGGAAGACCAGGAAACGAGGTTGTCGCCCAGAAAAACACAGTAACATGATGTGGAGCGTATGGTGTCAGGGCAGCCAGCCCAATAAGCATCGGAATAGGCTTGTAAATAATCGGTGGCAGATCGTGTCATATGGATCCCGTGGGTGGCAGTGCCACTAAGATAGCGAAGAACTCGCTTCATGGCAGTAAGATGTGCATCGTGTGGTGCTGGAGGTGTAGGCAGAGCTACTGAACTGCATATGTGATATCAGGACGAGTGAAGGTGAGATAGTGTAGTGCACCAACAATGGACCTGTAAAAGGACAGGTCGGGTAGCGTCGAGCCAGCTGTGCTAGATAGTTTTGCCTTCGTGTCCACCGGGGTAGAGATGGGGCGGCAAGAGACCATCCCTGCCTGCTCGAGGATATCATGAGTGAACTGAGTCTGGTGGAGGAAGAGGCCGGTGGCTGTGCGCTGGACATTGATCCCATGGAAAAAGTGCAGGTCACCCATGTCTGTCATGGAGAATTCAGCCTTAAGCTGCTAAATGAGGCTCTGAAGCAGTACCGGGGAGGATGCCGTGAGTACAATGTCATCTACATATAGAAGCAGATAGGCCATGCCCATGGGCTGCGAGAAAATGAATAGGGAAGTGTCGGCCTTGCATCCTCAGAAGCCGATAGTCTGTATGAAACCTGCAAACCTGTGGAACCAAGAGCGTGGTGCTTGCTTAAGACCATAAAGAGCTTTCTTGAGTTTGCATACATAATGAGGGCGAGTGGGATCTTGAAACCCAGAAGGCTGGCTGGCATAAACGGTCTCCTGTAGCTGACCATGAAGGAACGCATTTTTGACATCAAGTTGGTGAATGGGCCATCCACGAAACAGAGCAAGGCTGAGGACGATACGAACAATGGCAGGCTTGACAACGGGGCTGAAGGTCTCGTCATAATTAACACCAAAACGTTGGTTGAAACCGCGAACCACCCAACGGGCCTTGTACTTGGATAACTCACCCGAGGGGCAAAATTTGTATCAAAAAAGTCATTTACCGATGATAAGGTTTGGGAGGGGGAGGGGGGCACTAATTCTCTTGTGTCATTCTTAATCAAGGCATTAAATTCATCACACATAGTAGCGTGCCAGTTTGGATCTTTTAGTGCACTACGGTAGGTTGGGGGTAATGGGGAGATGGGGACAGAAGTGTTGAGATTAAGGATTTGTTTATGATAGAAAATACCGGCTTTGGAGCGGGTTTGCATAGGGTGGTTGTTGGGTGCGGGGTTGGGTTGCTGGGTC